AAATCTGCTGACAACAAGTTAGTTGTGTTATATATGTACTTACAATGATTGAACTCTAAATATTGTTTTTTTTTTGTTAAGAAATATTCGAAAAGGATTTTGTAAAACGCACCGATTACGAAATGTAGAAGACTTCTGTCGGTGTATAATAATATGTGTATATTACTAGAATTCGGCCAAAAATATATACATACATACATATATGTATATATATTAGAGTGGTTCAAAAATTTTTACTTTGGAAATTCATAAACGCTACCTCAAATTATTATTTGTGATAAAAAAAGCGAAACGTGTTTTTATTTAGAAAAAAGAGAGGTTTTTTTAGAGGTCGCGCTGGTCGTTTTTTTTTTATAAAAACGATGATCTCATTTTTTTTATTTTCTTGACATGTTAAAATGCAGTAAAAAATGTGGTTTTTACATATAATTACTCTGGTATTATTGGGGAATATTCTCTTAATTGCATACCTATCCTGGACATTATTATTGGTTGGAAATTGTTACCAGGGGCCTTCTGGGGTTGCTAATTAGAAATCTGAAGTCTGTTTTTCAAAATTCAAAATGGCAGATCCAAAATGGCGAGTAATTAAAAAAAGATTATTGGATTTGTTCGAAACCCGGCACTCGGGAGTTTTTGGGGTCGCTGACTACGAATCTGAAGTCAATTTTTTTAAATTCAAAATGGCGGATCCAATATGGCGATCAAATTAAAAAGCAATTGCTAAAATTAAAGCGTTGATGCTGAACGTTTTAAGCTTTTCCAATGCTTGAAACTCGTTTCCAGTGGGTTTCTGGGTTTGTTGATTACGATTTTCAAAATTTGAAATGGCGGTTAATTAAAAGTTGGTCACCATTTTGGATCCGCCATTTTTAATTTTGAAAATCTAATACCAGATTCGTAAACAGCATACCCAGAAACCTACTGGAAACAAGTTTAACTTTGACAATGGTTAAAACGTTTAGTATCAACGTTTTAATTTTAGTATTTTTTTTTAATTCGATCGCCATACTGGATCCGCCATTTTGAATTTAAAAACATTTACTTCAGATTCGTAGTCAGCGACTCCAAAAACTCCCGAGTGCCGGGTTTCGAACAAACTCAATAATTTTTTAAAAAATTTGTCGCCGATTTGGATCCACCATTTTCAATTTTGAAAAACTGGATTCAGATTTATAATTAGGAACCCCAAAAATCACCTGGTAACAAGTTATAATCCATGATAACGCGTAAATCGTTCAGTATTAAGGCTTTAATTTTAGTAGTCTCTATTCGAGAGCATATTTTCGGGAACTAGGCCCATTCTAACTGTCCAAGACAGGTATGTAAATAAGGGAATGTTCTCCGATAATACGCGAGTAATTATATGTAAAAACCACATTTTTAGCTGCATTTTAACATGTCACGAAAAAAAAAAAAATTAAGAACTTCAGCGTTTCTATAAAAAAAACAACCAGCGCGACCTCTAAAAAAACTTTTTTTCAAAATCAAAAAATACGTGTCTCTTTTTTAGAACATCAGTAGTTGAGGTAGCGTTTATGAATTTCCAAAAATAGTGTTTTTATGAACCACTCTTATATATATATATCTTTATATGGAGCTATAAATTAAATAATATTATCATCCTTTTACTTACAGTGAAGGTGGCTTTTTCAAAGCACATTTATATTTTCCGAAGGAGTACCCTCTGCGCCCTCCCCGAATGAAATTTGTGACGGAAATATGGCACCCTAACATTGAAAAGAATGGTGATGTTTGTATTTCCATTTTACATGAACCAGGCGATGATAAATGGGGTTATGAGAAAGCATCTGAACGCTGGTTGCCAGTACATACTGTTGAAACGATTTTGATATCTGTGATATCAATGCTAGCTGATCCAAACGACGAGTCCCCAGCTAATGTTGATGCTGCTAAAGAATGGAGGGAGTCATATCCAGAATTCAAACGAAAGGTTGCTCGTTGTGTCAGAAAGAGCCAAGAAGAATGTTCATAGAGATTTACCGTTTTTGTATATTTATAAACAATTTGGTACATTAAAAACAATTATTTAATTTTTGTCATTTAACTAGATATTGCCACTTCGGTGACAAAAATTTCAAAATTGGAAAACTAACAACATTTTTAATATGTCCCATATAATATACAGCTTAACTTTGTCAAAATGTAGTCACTTGGCATTCGAACGTTAGGTGCTAAAGCTAAGAAAAAATCTTATATTTGATGACATTTGCGGAACCGTAAGTAATTTTTATCAAGCATTTCATAATAAAATTTAATTAGAAAAAAAATATATTAACCCAGTATTGCCCAGTAATTGTGCTATTGTTTTGTAGTGTCACTCTGCCCGAAATTCAGCGTGTGATTGTCCTTAATTGGGATTGCTTAGGTGATTTGGATTCGATCATTGTGAAATCGATGGTAGGTAAGGTGGACATAATGTGTATGAAAATAAAGTATTAGTTTTTCTGGAAAGCCCTATTAAAATGCGATGTTATCCAAAAAAACCCTATGTATATATAACGTTCGTATCAACACTTTTTTTGGCCTTTTTTTGGTTCTGCATTTATACTATTTTTGCTGTCAAGTTTTTTAACACACATTGTTCGTGGAAACACGTTATAAAAAGGCATATGGGTCATTTCCAAACGAAGTGCTATTTTTTGTGCTACTGGCAATTGGGTTAATGCAATGACAAAACTGTGGTCAAATAAGCGTATCGAAAATAAATATGTCATATATTGATTTCACTTTGTTTATTACACTATGATACGATCCAAATAATACGCCACCAACAAAGCTGTTTTTTATTATTGTAAGCCGTTTTCTTTTCTTTTGCGCGCGGTATATCTTTGATTTATTTTACCTAATCCATATAAAAATATTTCTCCCCGATCAGGTTATTCGATAGTCAACATGAAAGGAGTTTAAACTAAGAAACAATGAAAAAAGGCGTAACTGTTTGTGAATGACCACCTTAACTTTTATTGTTTTGTTCTATTTTTGCGTGAAAAATTGTATCAGCATAAGCATGGCATTCTATTATAATATTGTCCCTCCGAATTTTCCTGAATGCCACTTTTTTAAATTCGCCGTGATATTAACATTAGTTTTGATTGCCTAAGTGCATTGCAGTTAAGGAGCGCAAGAAGCTGTTGATCGAATGACATACGAAATAACTCAATAAAAGTAATTATTTTGTCTGTTTTGAGTGAATCTATCGTTGCGCCATGGTATGTAAGGCTATTTCCTAAATGTCACCCAGTTTTTTATGCGAAAAACATTAAAAATAGCATCATTACCACTGCATGTTTATTGCTTCAGAAGTTTCAATGATTTCCTTGTGTTTATATTTTGGTGGAAAAATACTCTTAGTAAAAAAAGTGTAATATTTCCATTTCGCTTTTAGGTGAAAAGAAATTTTTTATTTGAATAGCTTACATGGTGGCGACGAATAACTGTTACCCCGATTTTCTGAGAAACAAAGGGGTCCTTTATAGATTTTGAGAAAAAAGTATTTTATTGTTAATTTTCCACAGAGTTTACTTTAGTTGTGTTAATTAGTTATTAAATTTAAACCTTATTTACATTTGCCAGCAGTTTAAACTTTGAGAGAAAAGTTCATTTAGCGGGCAAGTATAAAAAGAATACAAACAAGAAAAAAACTGTATAAGGTTGGTCGAATGAATGGCCGTCCTAGTCACCAAAAGGGGTAGTATAAGGGACTCGAAATGGAGAAAATATGCCTATGGTTACAGAAGATATGGAATAAATTAACTGACGAAGACCTGCGTGCCAAATGAACTTTTCTCTCAAAGTGTACACTGCTGGCAAATGTAAATAAGGATTAAAATTTAAAAACTAATTAATACATCTGAAGTAAAATCTGTGGAAAATTAACAATAAAATACTTTTTTCGCAAAATCTATAAAGGGCCCTTTTATTTCTCAAAAAGCCTGGGTGACAGTTATTCGTCGCCACGCTGTATTTCTCCAAAAGTATTCAAATCGCATTTATGGGAAATTGTTGCCGAAGAAAGATTAAACAAAAATGCCTGCCTCCCAAGAAAAACCATGCCACGAAACCATGAAAAATGGCATGAAGAAGGTGGAAAAAACTTCAACATTAGCTTACGTGATAAATGAGGTTCAAAGTGATTGTTTTAAAAGCATGCATTTCATGTTAAAAATTAGTAAATGCTTTTCGGTTAGTATACTTTTTTTCTAACAGTTTCTAAACTTATTCAATCCCTTAATTTAAGATCTGCTTCAGTTGAAATCTGGCAGGTGTTAAATAGCAAAAAAACTAATTTAAATGTGAATAATTCGGTCGTAACTTTTTTAGAACCTTCTTTTATTTATATTTAAATGAAAGATTTACAAATATTATTAGAATTAATTTCCACGCCAAAATACCCGTAGTTTAGAGATGACGCCCGCCATTAATACTTGGACATCCCTTTCGTTGATCGATTCAGCCTGTTTTCGCCACATTCTGCAGAACTGCGTTATTCTTGAAGCCGTGCCGGAGGATTGGCCTCTTTTAGTATAATGTTGATTCCATTTTGTGTATAAAACTCTTGCGCTTTTTTGCAAAATGGCTTGTTGCCAGATAAGGCCAAAACAATACAGGCTCTCAGAACAACACTCCAGATGCAACAACACGTTCAGAAATGTTGGGATTCCTTTTCAAAGTCCTTAGAACATCGTTCTCCGCTATTTTATTTATACCGCCTGATTTTTCGCCATATTCCGCCTTTCTCCCAATGTTGTCTTTTTTCTTGAAATTTGAAAATATATTTTGAACCGTAGACCTTTAAATTTTCAGCAATTTTACTAACCGACATTGGGAGATGTGTGGATTTTGCATGAAATTGTCCAAAATCAATTTTCTTTGCTGAAGTTCTTTGCTCTCCACATCACTTATTTTTAAAGTTACGCATATGAAAATTAACTGTAATAAAAAACAGCGATAGCAAAACCAGCACACTAAATAAACGGCTGATCGAGTAGTCCATAAAAAAGTTGTGCTGTGTAGAGTGCTACCAGATTTCAACTGAAGCAGATCTTACTTCATTCATTCATTCTGGAAAATATTTTGCAAAAATAGGAAAAAAATTAATTTTTGAAGAGCCTGAAAGCAGTTTGGTATTATGCACAAATTTTCACGTCGGTAAACGATTTCATAGGATAAATTTATCCCTCTTAAAAAAAAAAATATTAAAAATACTTGACATGTACACTTTTTTGGAAATTACCCATATATAAAAAACGATATCTTGACCTCTTTTGGCTATTTTCCTTTCGTTTGTTTAAAGTTTATTGATTTTTTCTTAAGGGCTGTAATCGCCTAAGCGATTTTGGCCGAGTTCAGCAAAGCACGCCAGTCGTTTCTCCTCTGTGCCAACTGACGCCAATTGGATACGCCAAGTGAAGCCAAGTCCTTCTCCACCTGATCTTTCCATCGCAGTGGGGCCTCCCTCTTCCTCTGCTAACAAAGGCGGGTTCCAAGTTGAATACTTTCAGAGCTGGAGCTTCGGTGTCCATTCGAACGACATGGTCAAGCCAGCGGAGCCGCTGTATTTTAATTCGCTGCACTATGTTCCATGTCGTACTCGCCGTCGCCAACGCGTAAAGGCCCGTAAATCTTCCGCAAAATCTTTCTCTCAAACACTCCAAGAGCCGGCTCATCGGATGTTGTCATTGTCCATGCTTCTGCGCCATATACCAGCACGGGCATGATGAGTGACATAGAGCGTGGTTTTCGTACGTCGAGAGAGGACTATACTCCTGAATTGCCTACTCAGCCCAAAGTAGCACTTGTTGGCAAGAGTGATTCTGCGTTGGATTTCAATGCTGAAATGCTGACATTATTATCGGTGTTAATGCTGGTTCCCAAGTAAACGAAATTCTCTACTTTCTCGAAATTGTAATAGTCAACAGTGACGTGGGTGCCAAGGCGCGAATGTGCTGACTGTTTGTTTGATGACAGGAGATACTTCGTCTTGTCTTCGTTTACCACCAGACCCATTCGCTTTGTTTGCTTATCCAACTTGGAAAAGGCAGAACAGACTTCACGGTTTTTGTTACCGAAGATATCGATGTCATCGGCATAAGCCAGCAATTGCACACTCTTGTAGTAAATTGTTCCTGAGCGGTTCAGTTCTACAGCTCTTATTATCTTCTCCAACATCACATTAAAGAAGTCACATGAAAGGGAGCCCTGTCTGAAACCCAGTTTTGAGGCGAACGGCTCGGATAGGTCTTTCCCAATTTCGACGGAGCTGGTGGTATTGCTCAACGTCATTTTACACAGCCGAATGAATTTTGAGGGTATGGCAAATTCAGACATAGCGGCGTATAGGCAACTCCTTTTAGTGCTGTCAAAAGCGGCTTTAAAGTCGACAAATAGGTGGTGAGTGTCGATCCTTTTCTCGCGGGTCTTTTCCAAGGCTTGGTGTATTGTGAATACCTGGTCTATGGTGGATTTGCCAGGCCTAAAGCCACACTGATAAGGCTCAATCAGTTCATTGACGGTGGGCTTCAGTCTTTCACACAATACGCTCGATAAGATCTTGTAACCTATGCTTAGAAGTCTGATCCCGCGGTAGTTGGCGCGAATGGCGGGTTCACCATTCTTGTGGATTGGGCAGAGCACACTTAAATTCCAGTCGTCGGGCAAGCGTTCATCTGACCATATTCTGCACAAGAGTTGATGCATGCACCTTATCAACTCCTCGCCGCCGTACTTGAATAGCACAGCTGGCAGGCTGTCAGCTCCAGCAGCTTTGTTGTTTTTCAGCCGCGTTATTGCTATACGTACCTCGTCATAGTCAGGCGGTGGAACGTCGACTCCGTCTTCATCGGCTGCGGGCTCGGGTTCTTCTCCACAACTTTCCGTGCTGCTACCATTTAGTAGGGCGGAAAAGTGTTCCCTCCATAATTTAAGTACGCTCTGGGCATCAGTTACTAGGTCGCCATTATTGTTCTTACAGGAGAACGCCCCGGTCTTGAAACATTCCGTAAGTCGCCTAACTCTCTGGTAAAATTTTCGGGCATATTTCCTGTCGGCCAACATTTCAAGCTCTTCACACTCACGTATTTCGGCCTCTCTCTTATTGCGACAAATACGTCTCGCTTCCCTCTTCAGATCCCTATAGCGGTCCCACATAGAGTTGCGCCCGATCGCAGCGTGGCCCTGTAGGCGGCATCTTTTTTCTCTGCAGCTTCCTGACACTCCTCATCGTAACATTTGTTCTTTCGGGCTCGCTGAAATCCGACTACTTCTTCGGCG